GGCCGAACCCCTAAACAACCAGGGCAGCTAGCTGTCTGCAGCCCTGGCTTCCTTTTTGCCTTGAGCCAAAGCAGTCCGAAAGCTGTCTTGAAGGTACTGCACATGTTGTTTCTGAACTCTCATCTAGAGAGCCTCTGCCTACATTCCTGTTACGCCTCTGTCGGGGCCTCTGGGATCCTGTACTTTCAACTCCCCCCTCGCCAGGGCCAGCTACACCCTACGGAAACTGCACACTAGGCAATGAAGAAAGGCGCCAAAGGCAGCTTCTGCGCACGCGGGGCGCATAAAGCCGCCCCCTTAACGGAAGGAGCGCTAAAAGCAGCTACCCTTGTTGACGCACTCACTTGGGCACAGCGCTTGAGCTAGCTGTCTTTGGACCACTCCCGGCTTTGGTCTTCAGCTGGCGGACATCGACCAGCACTTCAGGAAGCTTCCGGCACATGCCTAGCAACCTGAGTGCATTGTCCCATTTCTGGGGGGCCAATGCCTTGGTGAAGATATCTGCCGCCTGCGAGTTGGTCTCGACATGTTGCAGCTTGACGTCGTGAGCATCAAGCACTTCTGCAATGGAACCCAAGTTGACTTGGTGACTGCGGAGCGATGTGCCTTCGCTTCGGCGAGCAGCCCTTCTTAGCCACCAGGATTGTAGCCTGGCTGTCCTCATGAATGGCTAACTCTATCGGATAGTCAAGCATCGTCTGCCAAACCTGGAGCGCAGGCAAGGCTTCCTGGAACGGGCTATGAGCTAAGGACACCATCTCAGACTCAGTGGTGCTCCGGCTCACTGATGTTTGTCGCCATGCAAGGGGAAAGAAGATACTAGGACCCTCAAGGACTAAGTAACCTCCACTAGTGGACTTGGCGTCGTCCCGCTCCCCTGCAAAGTCAGCGTCAACGTAGAGCGCAAGCTGCAGCTCCCTTGGCCCGTCCGATACGGTGCCTACGAGGCGATGGGTCTTAGTAAAATCGATGTAACTAATCAACCTCAAAAGTTTCTTGTCATCGTTCCTTGACCACTT